ATGTCCACCTTTCCCCACTTTCTCAGAGTCCTACTTACCAAAAGGCTTGGGATTGAAGGGGAGGAATTGAGGCAGTGGAGCACCACACTCCTTTTAAACCCTTGCCCTAGAACATCCAGAGTTCAGTTGAGAACTGGGAGAACTCTAGTCACTAGGGTCCCCAGGCCTTTCAGCAGCTTCAAACCTGCACACACCATTTTTTTTTAAGGATGATCTCTGATGGTATAGAAATTTTCTCCAGTGATTTGCATGAAATGTCATACATGGAACTGCACAGAATTTGGCAGCTGTATCCTTGCCTACCATACACATTGATGAACCATGTTTGTAGTCCCATACACATGGTCAGTTTTATTACCTGGGTGACGAAAGTACAAGTTAAGGGATCATTAACATGAAGAGAAATAATTTTCCAGTGTCATAAGGAATTATACCATGTACAAATTGAATTAAATTTTCTGAGGCAAAACGTAAGGGGAATCAAGAAACCAAACCACCACAAACCTTAAAGCAAGTAACAGAGCTGGTTAGGAATTTTTTAAGGAAACATTTTTTTGTTGGAAAATGTTGATTCACTGAAGCCAAAACTTTTCTAAGAAATTTATCAGTTTCTTCTCAACTTTGTTGGGAAGATGTCTCAGGTCCAGGATGGAATTGTTGGTTAAAATAGGAGAGAGCTCAGTGTAGCCCAGTGGTTAGAGCACTCATCTAGGGTGTGGGGGACCCAGTGTTCAAGTCTCTGATTCTGAATTATTTGCAGTGTTGTTGTAGCCATGTTGGTCGTAGGACATGAGAGAGGCTAGGTGGGTGAGATCATATCTTTTATTGGACCAACTTCCGTTGGTGAGAGGACAAGGTGAGCTGAAGAAGAGCTGTGTTGAGCTTGAAAGCTTGTCTCTTTCACCAATAGAAATTGGTCCAGTAAAAGATATTACCTCACCCACCTTGTCTCTCTCTGATTCTGAATGAGAATCTCAAACCTGGGTCTCCTACATCCCAGCTGAGTGCCCTAACCACTGGGCTTTTGGCTGTTCTGGGGTGTGTGCAGGGATTGATCTCCTGGCTTTTTTGGAAAAAATCTTTGAAGGGTCTCTGTTTCATACTGATGTAGAACAGGAAAAGTTTTGAAATTTTTCATGGGATGAGAGGATTCCTGCCCACTTGTAATCACACATTTGAGATTGAGCAGAATTGTTGTTCCTTTACTGCTGCTGCTGCTTCTTTCGTATGGCTGGTGTAGAGCAGCAACTACAATTTCACCTGAACTTGATCGAGCCAAATGGCTACATCAGAAGAAGCAGAATTTATTGCAGTAATGCCTCCTTCATATTTATAAATTGGGCAGTAGGTAGTGATATGTTTGATGGTCTAGCGTGGGGAACCACACTCACACACCGGGGAGTCTTTGATTTTCCATTTGTGCATTAGATATCCGCATCTATCATGGTTGGTTCGAATTCGGTTCAGAGTTGACCAAGATGACCGTGGAAGGTCAAACCCAGGAACCTTCTGCTTGTGGGACTTAAGACGTTGGGGGCGGGGGGGTGTTGTCAAGGTCTTGGTGAATAGGAATTCATTTGTTTTCCTGGATTCGCTGAGCTTCGCAGAATGTTGCAGCAGTTCGGCGTATCGGTGGGGGAGTGATGTTAGACAGGACAGGTAGCCAGGGTGTTGGAGTCGACTTAAGGGTTCCCGTGATGCACCGCATCACTGTATTCAGCTGGATATACACAAGTCATGTGTGACTGCATCTGCTCCATACTGGTGCACAATATTCAACTACAGAATATACAAGTGCTATGCAGTTTATTTATAAAGTCATTGGGAGGTGAACTATCTCCAATTCAACAGGTTAATCATTAATATTTGGAGGATTTTCTTGCCATGCTGTATTAGGAGGAGAACATCACCAGACAGACATTTAAATTGTTTTATTTAACTAAAACAACAACGTTAAGTGTTCTGGATTTTTTTCATCAACAGCAAACCTATAATATTTTAACAAAACAAGCATATGTCCCTCGCTTCTCACATTTCTCTCCAGACATCTTCACCTTGTCCAGATCTATTCCGCCCCGAACAATCTTCTATTCATTGAACTTTTTGAAAGTTTGCACTTTTAGAGATAGATGAGGGATTGACTCTGTGTACACAAATTTGCAGAGAGACAATAGAGTTGAGGTCTGTTATTTCTTGCCTCTATATATTATTTATTTATTTAAAAACATTTTTGCTGTTAACAAGCATGTTTCCTCCGGAGACACAAATCCACAGTTTGAGAACTGCAAAACTAAGCATCTCTGATGGTATCTTCTAGGTTGAGCACTGAGTCCCATTGGGTAGATAGAAAGATTAACCTAAATAATCTATACAGAAGCCTGTGGAACCCCATAAGATTGGGTCCCTTATCCATGAACTATTGGAACTCGTTTACAAAACTTTTTTTAAACATTACGTGAATATATTGTCTCATACTATAGAATTAGAAATTATAATTCCTATTCCATGTTGAGATATCTTTGAGCTATAATGTATCTTATCTAAAGATCGTTTTAATTAAGTTTTTTCCTCAAAAAGCATTTTATCAAAAAAATTCGATTTAAATAAAAAAAATCAATTTAATTTTTTTTTTTAAAATAATTGATTTTTATCCACCCTGGTAGTGTCCAGGCTCGATAACTTGAACGTGTAAAATCAAGGTTTTGCATGCAATCAAGCCAACACTGGTGTCTTGCTGTGTCAAGGGAGTGTAGCAGGGTTTTTGTGGTATGAAGGCTCTTAGTCTGATTGTATTGCCAGAGCAACTCCTGTGTCTCTCTCGTCCAGCAGGGAGTGTGCTTTTTCCGGAAGTCTTGGGGAATGTTCTTTCCTGCTACTTTCAGGAGCCCTGTGAACCATTGATAGCATTCTGGTCTCACTGGAATCCTTGCAACAGTTTTCTCAACCGTCTATTTGTAGGCATCCCAATCAGCTTTAGGAAAATTCCATCGTGGTACCTGTTTTGGAAAGAACACAGGAATTTCGATGCCTACATAGATCATTATAAGCCTGTGTTGGCTGTTTGGAAATGCCAATAGTAAATCACGTGTTACGATAAATGTTACCACTTTAGTCTTTAGACACAAATGTTAGGTTTGGATTGTACCCACGTTTCCAGTGCTTGAATGGAATGTTGATTGTTTTAGTTTGTAGATTAGTTGTAAGTCTTGTGCAGATATCCAGTCCCTAAGTTCTTCGCCATCGCTTTCATTTGTTTTATAGCCCCATATAGTGTGGTGACTATTAAAATCACCTGCATAGATGCATGGAATAGGAGTGCTAGGTAGCGCTGGTTTTGGCCATCTTGTTCTAGGGGCTTTATAGAGGTTGGTAATGTGGAGCTCCCCTACTTTGATAGTTGTGATAAATGCGGTCTCCTCTTCGGTTGATGGAATAACATTAAAGTCTGTGATAATGTCCTTGATGTATATTGCCAAGCCATATTTAGGATGATAATGGCTAGTCGTTAGGTTGTATCCATAGATACGGTAGCGCCTAGCCTGTTGGTCGTTGCCAACATGGGTCTGTTGCAACATGAGGATATCGATGTTGTAAGTCTTCAGCAAGTTTCCAAGGTACTCACATTTTGCCCATGAGAGTCTTTCAACATTAAGTTGCAGGATTTTTATTCCAGGGCCTATTTGGCACTCTGTATGGCCCTGAGGAGGAACTTTAGGATTTGTTGAGTTGCTGTTCTGATGACCAGGAGATCATCTTTATTAATGATCTGGAGGATGATGTGGACTGCACTCTCAGCAAGTTTGAAGATGACACTAAACTAGGAGGCGTGGTAGATACACTAGAGGGTAGGGATCGGATACAGAGGGACCTAGACAAATTAGAGGATTGGGCCAAAAAAAACCTGATGAGGTTCAACAAGGACAAGTGCAGAGTCCTGCACTTAGGACGGAAGAATCCCATGCACTGCTACAGACTAGGGACCGAATGGCTAGGTAGCAGTTCTGCAGAAAAGGACCTAGGGGTCACAGTGGACAAGAAGCTGGATATGAGTCAACAGTGTGCTCTTGTTGCCAAGAAGGCTAACGGCATTTTGGGCTGTATAAGTAGGGGCATTGCCAGCAGATCGAGGGACGTGATCGTTCCCCTTTATTCGACATTGGTGAGGCCTCATCTGGAATACTGTGTCCAGTTTTGGGCCCCACACTACAAGAAGGATGTGGAAAGAGTCCAGCGGAGGGCAACAAAAATGATTAGGGGTCTGGAGCACATGACTTATGAGGAGAGGCTGAGGGAACTGGGATTGTTTAGTCTCCAGAAGAGAAGAATGAGGGGGGATTTGATAGCAGCCTTCAACTACCTGAAGGGGGGTTCCAAAGAGGATGGAGCTCGGCTGTTCTCAGTGGTGGCAGATGACAGAACAAGGAGCAATGGTCTCAAGTTGCAGTGGGGGAGGTCCAGGTTGGATATTAGGAAACACTATTTCACTAGGAGGGTGGTGAAGCACTGGAATGCGTTACCTAGGGAGGTGGTGGAGTCTCCTTCCTTGGAGGTTTTTAAGGCCCGGCTTGACAAAGCCCTGGCTGGGATGATTTAGTTGGGAATTGGTCCTGCTTTGAGCAGGGGGTTGGACTAGATGACCTCTTGAGGTCCCTTCCAACCCTGATATTCTATGATTCTATGATTGAGTGATGTTCGTTCACTGAGTTGATGGCATTCATTGTGAATTCTTACTTAACAGAGTGGGCCCCGTGAAGGATGCCATCTTCCGTTCTTCCGTTAGTGCTATTGTGAAGCTTTTGCAATTAAATGTATAAGTGAACAATTTCTGCCCCTGGGCATGGGATTTGGTGATACATATCTTACCATGTGGAACAACAAATATGAAAAGCCATTAGTTATCCAGTTAGAGTATTTAATACCATGAGGCAGTGAGTTCCATATCGTGTATATCTGTTCTGTCCCTCTTGCTATAGTTATGGGTATGTATTTTTGAATTTCAGTGTATTTGAAAGGGATCCCAGTGGAGCTGAACCCAGCGTGAGCCTTGCCCACCGCAGCAGAAATCTGCTGGAGTTCTCAGCCAGCCAGAAGCTCAACACAGCTCAACAAATGCCTAACATCATCTCCCAGAATAAGGAGAGGTGAGGTGAATATATTTAAAGTTTAAAAGTATTAGCTGTTCATGATACTTTCATGCTTTGCTCCCTTGCCTTCAATTTCCCTGTGCATCATAAAGTAGAGTTATTAAGTGAGCATTGTTAGGGCAGCTAAGCCTAAAAATGGAGTGCCTTGAAAGCTGATTCCTCTTGTATTGTACTTACAGGATCTTCCTGGCAAGATTCCTCTTTAAGGCCCAACCTTGATGTGCTGAGATATAAAAACTAACCAACCCCTGAATCAGACAAATCAGTGCATGCATTCCATAGTGAGAGAGCAAGCTGTGTGAGCACTCTTGCCTCAGCAAAGCAGGATCAAGCCAGTATGGTGTCATGCTTTTGATGTGCAGTTCCATACCTGGCCTCATTCTGGTGCTGAGCAAGTCCTGTGACAGTCCCTGACACTGGACTTGCATACAACTCAAAGAGCAGCTCCCTGTCTCTTCCAGCATAGTAGGCAAGAAGTTGCTGCCAGCTTTCCATGTGTGGGGCTGTGATGGGGTGTACAACCCACACACTGCAGAGAAAGGGGTTTAGGAGGAGCTCTGGGCCCAGGTGGCCCCACCCAGTCGCACTTGCAGGGCCTGCACAAGCTGGAGGCAGGGCTTTAAGAAGGGGAGCAGAGCAGCTCAGAGTGGGCAGGCAGTGGAAAGGTGCAGGCAGCTGCTGTGAAGGGAAAGCACTGCCCTGGAGCTCCTTGCTTGAGGTCTTACTACACAGACTAATGGAAATGTACAAAGGAGAGTTAAGTGGCTGAGCATGCAGGCAAGAGGCTTGGTGAAAGTGACTCACTTCATGAAGCTAACGGGGATAGAGAGGTGGCCCAGGGGTGGGGGGCAGAATCTTAGCACCCCAAGGTGTCAAATGTAGCTGCCCACCACTGGGCCCTGGAGCATAGCCCAGTGTAGAGGGTAGGGCCGAGCTCCCCTCTCCATCCCCAGAAGACATTACAACACCAGGGGTCTTCACCTCAGGTGAGAGTTGCACTGGAGTAGACCTTGACTGGCCAAGAGCCTAGCCCCCAAATTACCTGGGCTGAAGGAGACGATGGGTAACCCTTGGGGCAGGATGCTGATCTGTCAATCCCTGCCTGATCTCTAGGCAGCACTGTGCGCGGTTGTGCACCTCCTACAGGGCCAAATGTTACTATCATAGACTTTAATCAGCACAGGTGTAACGATGCTGCCTCTGGTGGGACACAACTGAGAGTATCAATTCAGGACAAATTGCTTAGAGCAGGGTAGTTACAGCCCAAGGCAGCAGTTCCTTTGCACACCAAGGCACGCCAAACAGAGAAGACTTTGGTTTTACCCCACTGGCTATCCAGAAGTCATACAAGCAATTTCCTTAGACACTCCACTTTCCCAGTATCACCACCAGCAGCCACTTATGGGGATGAAAACCAATACCCCAGTAAAAGAAAAAAGGTTCTCCCGAACCCAAAGGACCAAGCCCCAGACTTAGGTCAATATACAAATCAGATCTTACCCACAAATCACACTGTTGCCAATCCTTTAGAATCTAAAATCTAAAGGTTTATTCATAAAAAGAAAGGAATATAGATGAGGGTTAAAATTGGTTAAATGGAATCAATTACATACAGTAATGGCAAAGTTCTTGGTTCAGGCTTGTAGCAGTGATGGAATAAACTGCAGGTTCAAATCAAATCTCTGGAGTACATCCACAGCTGGCATGGGTCATTCAGTCCTTTATTCAGAGCTTCAGTTTGTAGCAAAGTTTCTCCAGAGGTAAGAAACAGGATTGAAGACAAAATGGAGGAGTTTCCAGGGCCTTTTATATTCTTCCTCCTGTGGGTGGAAACCCCTTTGTTCTCCTGTACAAAATCACAGCAACAAGATGGAGTTTGTAGCTACCTGGGCAAGTCACATGTCCATGTATGACTCAGTTTGCAGGCAGCAGCCACTGCTCACATGCTACCTTGAATGTCCCAGGAAGACTTCTCATATGTGGATTGGAGTCTCCCAAGGTCCATTGTCAGTTAAGTGTTTCTTGATTGGGCACTTAATCTGCAACTTCCTTTCTCAAGAAGCTGACCAAAGGCTTCACTAATGCTACTTAGAATCAAACACATTGAGATACAAGTACATAGCCAATATTCATACTTTCAACTAAAAAAAGATACACATAGATAGCATAATCATAACCAGCAAATAACCTTTTTATAGACACCTCACATGACAACCTTTGCTGCATATATGTAACAGTGGTTGCAACAATGATCTATATAGTCCACAGTTTGTCAATAATGTCACAACAGGCAATAGCTGCACAGCTCTCTGCAATTCCTTTATAAGGGCTTAGAAAGATCAAGCACTTGATTTGGCTCAGGGAACTTAATGTTGAGATACTACCACATCCTCTATAGCTGTGCTGAAGGATCCTTCACAGTGTCAGAATCATAGAATATCAGAGTTGGAAGGGACCTCAGGAGGTCATCTAGTCCAACCCCCTGCTCAAAACAGGACCAATCCCCAGACAGATTTTTGCCCCAGATCCCTAAATGGCCCCCTCAAGGATTGAACTCACAACCCTGGGTTTAGCAGGCCAATGCTCAAACCACTGAGTTATCCCTCCTCCCTGGAGAGCATTGAGGGAAAAATGTACTCTACACATTGTTGCCAACTCTTGGGATTTTACCACAGGTCTTGAAATGGTGTTTTTCTTGAAGACCCAGCTGGTAGGGTCAAGACACCAAAAGAGAATCACAACTTTCATTTGGAAAAAAAAAGTTAGTTTCTAGCTCTCATGGTTGCAGAGAAAAGCGTGAAAACATGAAGCAGGTGTACCCTACAGGCTCAGAAACCAGCAGGAAAGCAAAAAACCCAACATTTATTATTAAAACTAATGTTTAAGACAGTCTCATGATTTGGGGGCCTGATTCACAATTTTTGAACACTTGAGGTTGGCCATACTCTCTATGCACCCTAAAGGAGTCTTGACTTAAGGCTTGGGAATCCGACCCAGGCCCTTCCTGTCTTGAGAAAGAGAGTTATTAGTGATTGGTGCCACTTCTGACCAAAATAACCAGTACTTCATGAGGGAGAGGGAGAGCTCAGTGGTTTGAGCATTGGCCTGCTAAACACAGGGTTGTGAGTTCAATCCTTGAGGGGACCACTTAGGGATCTCGGCAAAATCAGTACTTGATCCTGCTACTGAAGGTAGGGGGCTGGACTCAATGACCTTTCAAGGTCCCTTCCCATGGGATGGGAAGGAAACTTTTCTTCCTCCTTGAAAAATGCAGTAGAGTTGTCTTGACTTGCATGGTTATGAATGTTAATATTTGTCATGTTACCCAGCCCTTCTTAAAATTCAAGCTATGATATTTGTTTTCTTAGTCACTCAAAATCTGTTCAGCAAAGTTCAAGATACTTACAGAGGAAAGGACTGGATCCTAAACTCTGTGAGCAGTGCTCTTTGTTAGAAACCTCATGCATGCTTGTGCAAACCATTATTCCTGGATATCTACAGAGATGCACCTCACGAATGTATGGTTACAGTCTGCTCTAGCGGCTGCCTACCAAGTAGTCCCAAAGAATAATTTTTATTTTATCCATTAATATCTTTATTGGTCATTTACAGGGGTGTATTCAATTGACATAAAGTCACTTTAAGCCTTTCTAGATCTCCCGCAGGCAGTGGATGCGTATGTTCTGGATTGTGTCCAGATTGAAGGTTGGCTTATTCAGACTGTGTTTTCCCCTTCACAGAGTCTGTCCTAACAGATCTGTCCTTTCCAGATATTTTTGGCTAGCTGAATAGAGACAGCTGCAAATGTGCAGAAAGCACTAATAGATTTTTGCCATGTGGAAAGACGGGAATCAATCAGGAATACTCTAATGACTTAGTATTATGTGGCTATGATGAAGGGCCTATGTTCTATGTGGCACATTTTAGACTATGAATTATGTGATGAGGCAGCAGAGATGCTCACTCAGGAAGGTATGTCAGAGCCAACACCTCCTCTTTTTTTCCAGTCTCTTTCACCTTGTTGCTTGGCAAGCGTGGAACCCTCTGCTTCTTTTTCTTTTCTCTGTGCTAGAAGCAGAGACCAGAAGAGGGACAAGGCGGGAAGGTGGAAAGAAGGATAAAGGGGAAAAAATGAGTAACATTTTCAAAAGGAACCTGGGCATTTAAGTGCCTGAGTCTCACTGAAAGTCAGTAGGACTTCAGCTCCTAAGTCATTTAAGTGCTTTCACATTTTTTACCCAAGGATTATCATAAAGAACTGAGGCTAGGGACCTGGAGCTAACTGCCTGAGTTTAAGAGCCAAGCCAAGACTTCTGCCTTGCTTCTAGGCCTCCTTCCCAATTCTCCTCTGGGCAGGCCCCAGGATTTCCCAGACTACCAGCAGCATCTCAGGCAAAATCTCCTTCACAGACAAACTTTTCCTCTGCTACTCCACATATGAAAGAGATGGCCTGGCTTTTCATATGCCTCCCCCTCTCAAAGCTGGAGCAAGGAGAGCCCCTGTGGTTCTTTAGGGACTCTGGGAAAGGGAGGGCTAGTTCCCTTCTCTCCTCACTCTTATGGCTGAGATCCCAGCTGGGGTTGAGATTGGGGTTTCTCTTCTGTCTTTCTCCAAGGCCCTGCTGCCCCTGTGAGCCTCTGCCTCAGGCTCCTCTCTTCCCATGTTTCTCCCATTTGGAAGAGCTGTTGATCTACTAGCAGCTACTGTGTAGCAGGGTTTGCTGCCCATTCTGCCACTTTTCGTCCCTGCTAGCTCTGTGGCCTCTCCAGCTGCCCTCAATTCTTGATCCCCTTCCTGCATGCAGCTGGCAGTGTTGTCTTGCTCTTTTGCTTGCCCCCTACCGCCCACCTTAGCTCCCCTATCTCACTAGAGCAAAGAGCAGGCCACTTGACCAGAGACTTCTCTGCACATTGGCCAGAGAAGGCTGCCTCTTTGGGTAGGAAATCTATAGGGCTGCTGTTTGGTCCGTGCCCCTTACATTTGTGTCACATTATAAAACTTGAAATCAATTAGAAGTATGGTTACAATATGCATGCAAATGAGATGATGTCTTTGAGCTCCTGCCAACTGGCCAGAATGGCCTGTGGTGCAGATTTAGGTAACCCCTGCTTCAATATGTCCACTTCTTCATGGCTAGGGCTCTTTCTCCCCCAGCCATGCAGAGCATCACCTCCTGGAGCCTGTACACTGGAGTCAAGGTTCACCCAGGTTCACCAGTCCACATACAAGCACAGTGCTGTAGGAGCAAAGCAATTGCTGTGGGCAGAAGACTTGTTTTGAATGGTTGATGTAGAGATGAACTTATTACAAGTGATTAGTGACATCTGCAAATTTAATCTGAATGATTGTCATTTTATTTGTATCAACTTAACACCTAGGAACCCTAGTCATGGACCAGGACCCCATTATGCTGGGCACAGAACAAAAACAACAGTCCCTGCCCCATGGAGCTAACAGTCTAAATAAGATTTACAATTAAACTGCTAACTTCTTTGGCTTGTTTGTGTGAGCACTATGATTTTTGGCTTAAGAGGCAAATTTTGTTTTTGGCTCCCATACTGCTGATGTGTTTCCCTGCATTGGGTTCTACAAAGATCCTGAGGGAGAAGAGAGCAAAATACTGGGTTACTAGGCACAAATTGTCATCTCTTCTAGAAGAAGAATCTGTTGGAGCAATAGTAATCTGTTCATTGGCTCTCTCATTAGCCTTTGGTGATACATGTTCATTGGGGGAGGCTGAAGGAACTTTGAAAGAAATTTGAAGAGATTTTTTGGTGTCTTTATTTCTAGGTATGAACGTTCTGTTTCTGATAACAAAGCGTTAATGGTAGTAACAGAAGACCCACTATTGTATATTTCTCCACCACCCTGTCAGCCACTGATCAACCGGACTGAGTCTCTCAGGTTAGCAAACATTGATTTCCAAGTGTGTGTTTTTTAGTTTGTAATTGTTGTGTGAATTCTGTGTAGATGAAAGGTGCCAGACTGGTGGCCAAGGTGCCTGGCATTTCTTTGTTTATATCCATACTAGATACATTGTGGTCAGTGGCAACACAAGCTTCCCCATTGTTCTACAGGTGTGTTTGAATCCTGGTTTAGCTGGCATCTGTAAGTTACAGATGTGGGAAACCCAATATAAACTGGGTTGCTTTAAATGGATCTTAGTGTGTTAGACCGGTGTAACTTTGGGTGTGGACACTCTAACATCCATTTACACCAACCTGACCTATATCAGGTTACCGACACCTCTAACTTATAAGTGCAAGCTAAACCAATAGAAGCCATGCTTAAACCAATGTTAAAGTGGCCACACGCAATGTTGCACTGGTTTAATTAACTCAGTTTAACTTTTCACCTTTAGTTAAACCAGTGCGCTGTTTTGTACCAGGGTGTAGACAGTCTGACCTAGTAGTCAGAGAAGGAGTGAGGTTTAGTGGGCGGTGCTGGTGTCCAGATAGGGGAACCAAGCCAAGGGGTCAGCACCAGAATCAACTGCCAGTTACTAGATCCAGGAAACAAAGCTGAGGGTCAGAACCAAGGTCAGATACCAAATGCCAGAGCCAAGGGTCAAGTTTGAATCAGGGTCAGAGGCCGGGGTCGGAGCCAGGACTGGTCACTAATGATTGGAGGTGAGGTGTAAGGGGAGGAACTTGAGGAGAGGCACGGAGCAGGAGCATGGTGGGAACAGGGGCGAGGCAGGAGCATAGCAGGAATCAGGAACAGGGTTGGGTGCGGGAGGCAGGCACAAGCAGGGTCCAATGCAGCCACAATAGGAAAACACCTTGTTGCTTGGATAAATTTCCTGTGCCGTCTTCTGGCTCAAATAGTATGGATGGACCAATCAGTGGAGCTGGGTGATCCTCCAATCAGGGCTCCCATGGATGGCGCCTTGGCTGAGGCCATAGTCCTACTAGCTCCCCAGCCCATCAGATTTCAGCAGCCATCGGGTGCAGCCCAGAACACAGTGGCTCTCTGGGGACTCCCAGGCCTGGGTTCAAGACCCAAGATGTCACATGCATCTTTTGTGTATGGACTAGGCCTTAGCTCCCACTTGCTCAGCTGACTTGCCTCCCTTTAACCTATGAGACATGCTGGATTGTCCCATAATGCATTTGAGCAGGCAGCAATGCAGTAAGGATGGTGGCTTGCACTTGATGGGATCAGAGGATTCCCTAGGATGCTGGCCCAGTGCTGCATCAGCAGCCGGAACCACCTACTTGTCAAGCATATGCCTTCCCCCCAAGTCAAGGGGCTCTCATGAGCATCTATTCTGCCTGCCTCCCGGCAAAAAGAAACATTGGGGGTTTGTCCTGCGCTTAGCACAAATGAACTAGAATCCTGGGACTGTTTCCAACAGAAAGCAGCTACTTCTCCTTCCCGGCAATTCAGCAGACCCCACTCTTAATAGCAGCACTGGCTTGAGCTTTCATCCTCTGTTGAATTGAGAACAGCTGAGAGGTAGCTGCATGGAGAGGATGTGGAGCCATCCTTTTTGGCTGCTAGGAAAGTGGAGCAGCAAGCAGGGAGCTGGGAATGGGCTACTGAGCACTGGAGATTATTGGCCTTCACGCATACGAAGAGGTCAGTTCCTGGTGTGGGAGGGAGAGGGGGATTATCTGTGGAGTTTAGGGTAGGAAAGGTGAGGAAAGCATTCATGGGGAGCAAGAAGAGCCATGGAGAGTAAAGAGAGAGGGGTGGCAATTGGAAGAGGGAGCAATTTTTTCCAATTGCCCAGAAAGTCCAGTGTATTTCTCTGCAGGATGGGGAACTCTAGGTGACTTATTTACTTTTTTCTCTGTTATATAAGAAAAGTTCCCTGTCTTCCCTATCCCCTGTCCTAAGATAATCAGAGACTCCCAATGAGATGGTCGAGTTCAGGATCCTGACACAAGGAAGAAAGGAGAGCAGCAGAATACGGACCCTGGACTTCAGAAAAGCAGACTTTGACTCCCTCAGGGAACAGATGGGCAGGATCCCCTGGGAGAATAACATGAAGGGGAAAGGAGTCCAGGAGAGCTGGCTGTATTTTAAAGAATCCTTATTGAGGTTCCAGGAAAAAACCATCCCAATGTGTAGAAAGAATAGTAAATATGGCAGGCGACCAACTTGGCTTAACAGTGAAATCCTTGCTGACCTTAAACGCAAAAAAGAAGCTTACAAGAAGTGGAAGATTGGACAAATGACCAGGGAGGAGTATAAAAATATTGCTCAGGCATGCAGGAGTGAAATCAGGAAGGCCAAATCACACTTGGAATTGCAGCTAGCAAGAGATGTTAAGAGTAACACGAAGGGTTTCTTCAGGTATGTTAGCAACAAAAAGAAAGTCAAGGAAAGTGTGGGCCCCTTACTGAATGAGGGAGGCAACCTAGTAACAGAGGATGTGGAAAAAGCTAATGTACTCAATGCTTTTTTTGCCTCTGTCTTCACGAACAAGGTCAGCTCCCAGACTGCTGCACTGGGCAGCACAGTATGGGGAGAAGGTGACCAGCCCTCTGTGGAGAAAGAAGTGGTTCGGGACTATTTAGAAAAACTGGACGAGCACAAGTCCATGGGGCCGGATGCGCTGCATCTGAGGGTGCTAAAGGAGTTGGCGGATGTGATTGCAGAGCCATTGGCCATTATCTTTGAAAACTCATGGTGATCGGGGGAGGTCCCGGATGACTGGAAAAAGGCTAATGTAGTGCCCATCTTTGAAAAAGGGAAGAAGGAGGATCTGGGGAACTACAGGCCAGTCAGCCTCACCTCGGTCCCTGGAAAAATCATGGAACAGGTCCTCAAGGAATCAATTCTGAAGCACTTAGAGGAGAGGAAAGTGATCAGGAACAGTCAGCATGGATTCACCAAGGGCAAGTCATGCCTGACTAACCTAATTGCCTTCTATGAGGAGATAACTGACTCTGTGGATGAGGGGAAAGCAGTGGATGTGTCATTCCTTGACTTTAGCAAAGCTTTTGATACGGTCTCCCACAGTATTCTTGCCAGCAAGTTAAAGAAGTATGGGCTGGATGAATGGACTATAAGGTGGATAGAAAGCTGGCTAGATCGTCAGGCTCAACGGGTAGTGATCAATGGCTCCATGTCTAGTTGGCAGCCAGTTTCAAGTGGAGTGCCCCAGGGGTCAGTCCTGGGGCCGGTTTTGTTCAATATCTTAATTAATGATCTGGAGGATGGCATGGACTGCACTCTCAGCAAGTTTGCAGGTGACACTAAACTGGGAGGAGTGGGAGATATGCTGGAGGGTAGGGATAGGATACAGAGGGACCTAGACAAATTAGAGGATTGGGCCAAAAGAAACCTGATGAGGTTCAACAAGGACAAGTGCAGAGTCCTGCACTTAGGACGGAAGAATCCCATGCACTGTTACAGACTAGGGACCGAATGGCTAGGAAGCAGTTCTGCAGATAAGGACCTAGGGGTTACAGTGGAGGAGAAGCTGGATATGAGTCAACAGTGTGCCATTGTTGCCAAGAAGGCTAACGGCATTTGGGGCTGTATAAGTAGGGACGTGATCATTCCCCTCTATTCGACATTGGTGAGGCCTCATCTGGAGTACTGTGTCCAGTTTTAGGCCCCACACTACAAGAAGGATGTGGAAAAATTGGAAAGAGTCCAGCGGAGGGCAACAAAAATGATTAGGGGGCTGGAGCACATGACTTATGAGGAGAGGCTGAGGGAACTGGGATTGTTTAGTCTGCGGAAGAGAAGAATGAGCGGGGGGTTTGATAGCGGCTTTCAACTACCTGAAAGGGGGTTCCAAAGAGGATGGATCTAGACTGTTCTCAGTGGTACCTGATGACAGAACAAGGAGTAATGGTCTCAAGTTGCAGTGGGGGAGATTAGGTTGGATATTAGGAAAAACTTTTTCACTAGGAGGGTGGTGAAGCACTGGAATGGGTTACCTAGGGAGGTGGTGGAATCTCCTTCCTTAGAGGTTTTTAAGGTCAGGCTTGACAAAGCACTGGCTGGGATGATTTAGTTGGGAATTGGTCCTGCTTTGAGCAGGGGGTTGGACTAGATGACCTCCTGAGGTCCCTTCCAACCCTGATATTCTATGATTCTATGAATTCCCCTGGAGGCACTGGGACCCTCCATTCTGATGCTGTCAGGTGGGATATTGACTTTCACTCACCATCAGCCTTTGCTCACTTGGAACCAGCAGCCTAGCCTACTCACTGCTATAGACTAGTAACAATCATAAAACATTGTAACAATTCTCTGAGCCATCCAGTCCACCACAGATCTGCCTGTGTGGAAGTGTCCAAAGCTTTTTCATTAATCAAATTATGCAGTTGGAAAATTTATTATAAAATGGATTTAGAGGCCAGTTAAAGACAGAGATACACAGGTCATGACTTTTTCCCTTCAACATCATAAAGTAAACAAAGATATAATTGAAGTAGCTAATACTTTCTTTGCCTTGATGGAAGAACTGGAATTGTGTGGTTTCTAAAGACATGAATTCATCACTGCATATTTTTTCTTTTCTTCTTTTTTTCCCCTTTACTCTGTTAAATTAATTTTTTGAGTATTTAATGGAATTTTATTCTTGAGTTGGTAGCCTTGTGATTTAAATTCTCAATATACCCCTATTGTTTTCAGGATTCGTGTTTATTTAATTATATATAGGAACCACTGTAGGTGGAAAAATCCAGTCCAATATTAACACATGGCAGATACTTAGCTATGAATTCTCTTTGAACATGTGACTAACATTAATGCCCCAGTGTTAAAAGGAACACAATATAAAATGTTAAGATGAACAAAACCCTAACATTAAGTCACAATACTTTTCAGGTGGATTGTTAAAATGCTGCTCAAAACCCAAGACATTTTGACTCCTCTTTTAAAGACATGCCTAATTTAATGTTGCATTTTACAGATTAAATCATGAACTTCGAGGGTGGGTTCATAGGCATGAAGTGGAAAGGACAAGGTCTAGAAGAATGTCAAATAACCAGCAGCAGAAAACACGAGTTGTCCAGGTAGGTTTGTACTGTTGAATCATTAGCAACACAAATTAACTGCTGGCAACATGACCAGCTTTCCTGAGACACGGCTCATTCCACAAGGCTTTTGTGTGTAGTGAAACTTATCAAAGTTTAAATGTTAAAGAAAGCTGCAGATTGGTAGAGCAAAGGGTTAACATACTAGTTATTTCTGGAGTCCCTGGTTAATAGAATCATAGAAGATTAAGGTTGGAAGAGACCTCAGGAGGTCATCTAGTCCAACCCCCTGCTCAAAGCGGGACCAGCCCCAACTAAATCATCCCAGCAAGGGCTTTGTCAAGCTGGGCCTTAAAAACCTCTAAGGATGGAGATTCCACTACCTCCCTAGGTAACCCATTCCAGTGCTTCACCACCCTACTAGTGAAATAGTTTTTCCTCCTATCCAACCTAGACCTCCCCCACTGCAACTTGAGAGCATTGCTTCTTATTCTGTCATCTGCCACCACTGAAAACAGCCTAGCTCCATCCTCTTTGGAACCCCCCTTCAGGTAGTTGAAGGCTGCTATCAAATCCCCCCTCACTCTTCTCTTCTGCAGACTAAATAAGCCCAGTTCCCTCAGCCTCTCCTCATAAGTCATGTGCCCCATGTGCCCCTAATCATTTTCGTGGCCCTCCGCTGGATTCTCTCCAATTTGTCCACATCCTTTTTGTATTGGGGTGCTCCAAACTGGACGCAATACTCCAGATGTGGGCTCACGAGTGCCGAATAGAGGGGAATAATCACGTCTCTCGATCTGCTGGCAATGCTCCTACTGATGCAGCCCAATATGCAGTTAGCCTTCTTGGCAACAAGGGCACACTGCTGACTCATATCCAGCTTCTCGTCCACTGTAATCCGTAGGTCCTTTTCTGCAGAACTGCTGCTTAGCCAGTCAGTCCCCAGCCTGTAGCAGTGCATGGGATTCTTTCGTCCTTAGTGCAGAACTCTGCACTTGTCCTTGTTGAACCTCATCAGATTTCTTTTGGCCCAATTCTCCAATTTGTCTAGGTCACTCTGGACCCTATCCCTACCCTCCAGTGTATCTCCACTGGGGGGTAGTGTCATCTGTGAACTTGCTGAGGGTGCAATTAATCTCATCATCGAGATCATTAATAAAGGTGTTGAACAAAACTGGCCCCAGGACCGACCCCTGGGGCACTCCGCTTGATATTGGTTCAAATCTCAACTCGTTGAAGTTTACAACCAAAAATGGTCTCACCTTAAGTTCGTGCCAGATATTCGTCCACAATCACAGAACTGCCATACAGTTTGGCATGGTTGTAAGCTGCTGTTCAAGGGATGCCAGGACTGGCGTAGCAGTGGATTTGGCAGATAAGGATTGAGTGGTGTTACAAGAGCTGTGAAGGAAAGCTGTAGATACCTCCTCGACTCTATGCCTTGCTTGAGTCTTGTCTTTTGTGAATAGTAAAATCAATATAAATAAACTTTCAAGAAAGAGACCCAAAGGAGAGTGTTGAGACTGTAAATTTTTTTTTACTTAACCTAATACATGTGGTTACCTTTATATCTGCAATGATTCCTTTTATTTCTCTATGCTTGGTGTTATAGGCTGAGCTGGCAGCAACGTCTATAGTTAAGATTGCCTGACTCTTTCCAGCATAAGTCACTGTTTTCAGATGGTTTTTACTTTGCCAGATTTTAAGTATTCAGGCTGAATTTTTCCATGCTTGCACTCTGCTTCAGGGTGAACTAAAAAAAAAAAAAATCATCAAAATTGGTTCAGCCATTTGAAAGAACAAGATTATGCAAAACAACCTTTTTCCCTGTTTTAAGAAAATATTTTCAGCCATTTAATTGAAAAGTTTTAGTATCTGTGTACTTTGGAGCAGGAATTTGAAATTTGGTGAGGAGATGGTCCTAGGGCCAGGGAGGTGCTTTTGGCTGACTTAATGAAAATCCATCCAGCATTGGCAGAATTATAGGCTTCTGAAAATTGTCATATGCATAGGCCCAATAAAGCTTTTTAGAGGCTTGCTGCAAAAATCTCTGAAGATTCCATCTGCACTAAACATATTTCCAGCTCTGCTGACTTTGATCTGCACCAAGGGTACTTCCAGGGCCCACTCAGCCTCCTACATGGCCCAGGCCCAGAGCTAGAGCTCCAGAGAGGATGAAGGTGCAGCAGCAGCAATGTGCCCCTCCTTCACCCTTGGTGTAGGAGCCAGGGGGAAACCTTCCACTGATGGGTAGTGTGAATTCTGTGCACTTAACAGTCCTTATTATCAAGTTACTTTACCTTAGGAGCAGGGAGAGCATCAGTCTCACCAGTTTACAGATTTTGCACAGAAGTAGCGCAGAGTCACTTCTGGGAGAGCTGGGAATGGACTCCTGTCTCTAATATCACAGATCCAAGTCTCATCCAAAGGCTCATTGTGCCAAATCAATGTGCTTGGGTGTGCTGTCTATAATCCTAGACCACACTCCTCTTCAGAACCAGAAGTTTCATAGATTCGTGGATTTCCAGGCCAGAAGAGACCACGATGATTATCTAGTCTGATCTCTTACATAACACAGGCCACGGAACTTCCCTGAAATAATTTGTGTTGGAACTAGAGCAGATCTCTTAGAAAAATATCCAATCATAGAAGATTAGGGTTGGAAGAGACCTCAGGAGGACATCTAGTCCAACCCCCTGCTCAAAGCAGGACCAATCCCCAACTAAATCATCCCAGCCAGGGCTTTGTTAAGTCGGGCCTTAAAAATTTCTAAGGATGGAGATTCCACCACCTCCCCAGGTAACCCATTCCAGTGCTTAAACACCCTTCTAGTGAAATAGTGTTTCCTAATATCCAACCTAGACCTCCCCCACTGCAACTTGAGAGCATTGCTTCTTGTTCTGTCATCTGCCACCACTGAGAACACCCTAGCTCCATCCTCTTTGGAACCCCTTAACCAATCTTAATTTAAAAATTGCCAGTAATGGTAAATCCATGATAAATTGTTTCAATGGTTAATTACCTTCAGAGCTAAAGCCTTATTTCCAGTCTGAAATAGAAGCTAGGAATTCTGACTGAATCCCAACAGTCCTCTGCTGTTTAGCAAATAATTGTGCGAGTCACTGCGTTCTCTCTCTCTAATGGCTTGTCCATACAGAGGATAGCGGCCTGCTACTGCAGCTTGTTACTCCTTTAGTTCAAGCAGTAGAGGTTTGTGCTGTGCTCTGGAGCTTAGGAGGTTCAAATCCTGCCGATGATCCATGAAGGTCATGATGTTTCCATTTGATAGAATTTCTGTGTTTTTCAGTTTCCTTTAAAAAAAAAAAAATACCTAGGAAATTACATTTTAAAACTATGTTTGCAAAGCCAAATACTCAAAAGTTAAAAGAATTAATGTAGCCTGTAAAAGCTAATTCATCCCCTTATGCATATGCATTATGATGATACAGCCTAATTATATGATCATTTACTCTTTTTTGTGCTGCAATAGCCAGACTCATTCAATACACAAGTTGGACAGAGAATGAGGCAGAGGGTTGAAAACAGTGAGATGGCATTGAGGCTGCATGAGGGGTCCAAATTATAGCTGCATTGGCAACCTTAATTCAGGCATTTCCTAATTGAGTGTTTGATTTTGCATCCTGAATGTTTTATTTTTTAATGAAGTTTTTACATGCAGTAGGAAATACTTTGAATACTACAGAACTCCTGAGCTCAAGCGGTGCGCTGGCCTCAGCTTCCCAAGTAGCTAGGAAGTACTGAGGTTTAGTAAATAGCAAATCTTATATAATTTTAAGAACAAGATTTCTAAAAAAATTGTCCTTGTTCAATAAGAATTTCCAGCTGCTAAATTTCAATAAGTTAAAACACATTAAAAGGTTTAACTTTTAATATGTATGCAGTTGCCACAGGGATGTTTTGGGATTATGAAGGGGATGGGAGGTAGTTCACAAGGCAAACTTATGTTCAAATAAGATGCACGCTATGAAAGTGTTTGGGAAACGCTCACTGAAGGGAATTGGCGAGATTGAGGTGCTGCACTGTAGAACTCAGTAGGAATCAGTAGGATGATGATGCAGTTAACTCATGCGATTAACCCAAAAAAATTAATCCTGATTAATGGCAGTTATAACAATAGAATACCAATTGAAATTTATTAAATACTTCTGGATGTTTGTCTACGTTTTCAATATTGATTTCAATTACAACACAGAATACAAAGTGCACAGCACTCACTTTATATTATTATTTTTGATTACAAATATATGCACTATAAAAATGATAAATAAAAGAAATAGTATTTTTCAATTCACCTCATAAAGTACTGAAGTGCAGTCTCTTTATTGGGAAACTTACAAATGCAGATTTTTTTTTTCGTTACATAACTGCACTCAAAAACAAAACAGTGTAAAACTTTAGAGCCTACAAGTCCACTCAGTCCTACTACTTATTCTGACAATCACTAAGACAAATTTGTTTACACTGACGGGAAGTACTGCTGCCTGCTTATTATTTACGTCACCTGAAAGTGAGAACAGGCATTTGCATGGCTCTTTTGTAGCCAGCGTTGCATGGTACTTACATGCCAGATATGGTAAACCAGTGATTCTCCAACTTTTGTACTGGTGACCCCTTTCACATAGAAAGCCTCTGAGTGCGACCCCCCCTTATAAATTAAAAACACTTTTTTAATGTATTTAACACCATTATAAATGCTGGAGGCAAAGCGGGGGTTTGGGATGCAGGCTGACAGCTTGTGACCCCCCACATAATAACCTCCCGACCCCCAATTTGAGAACCCCTGTGTTAAACATTAGCCTGCCCCTTCATGCTTCGGCCACCATTCCAGAGGACATGCTTCCATGATGATGATGCTCGTTAAAAAAACAATGCATCAATTAAATTTGTGACTGCACTCCTTGGGGGGAAAATTCTATGTTTCCTGCTCTGTTTTACCCGCATTCTGCCATATATTTCATGTTACAGCAGTCTCAGATGACCCAGCACATGTTGTTCATTTTAAGAACACTTTCACTGCAGATTTGACATAACGCAAAGAAGGTACCAATGTGAGATTTCTAAAAATAGCTACAGCACTCAAACCAAGGTTTCAGAATCTGAAGTGCCTTCTAAATTCTGAGAGGGACGAGGTGTGGAGCACACTTTCAGAAGTCTTAAAAGAGCAACACTCTGATGCAGAAACTACAGAACCCGAACCACCAAAAAAGAAAATCAACCTTCTGCTGGTGGCATCTGACTCAGATAATGAAAATGAACATGTTTCGATCCGCACTGCTTTGGATTGTTATCAAGCAGAACCCGTCATCAGCCTGGACGCATTTCCTCTGGAATGGTGGTTGAAGCACGAAGGGACATATGAATCTTTAGCACATCTGGCACTAAATATCTTGTGATGCCAGCTACAACAATGCCATTAGAATGCCCTTTCTCGCTTTCAGGGGATATTGTAAGCAAGAAGCAGGCAGCATTATCTCCTGCAAATGTAAACAAACTTGTTTGTCTGAGTGATTGGCTGAACAAGAAGTACGACTGAGTGGACTTGTAGGCTCTAAAGTTTTACATTGTTTTGTTTTTGAGTGCAGTTTTATATACATAATTCTATATTTGCAAGTTCAACTTTCATGATAAAGAGATTGCACTACAGTACTTGTAGCAGGTGAATTGAAAAATACGATTTTGTTTTTTTACAGTGCAAACATTTGAAATAAAAAAAATAAATAAAGTGAGCACTGTACACTTTGTATTCTGTGTTGTAATTGAAATAAATATATTTGAAAATGTAGAAAACATCCAAAATATTTAAATAAATGGTATTCTATTATTGTTTAACAGTGCGATTAATCACGATTAATTTTTTTAATCGCACGATTCATCACGATTAATTTTTTTAATCACTTCACAGCCCTAGTTGAAATCTACTGATTGGAATTTTCCCCTCCTGTACTTATGAAAGTACAAGAGAAATTGAAAGTTCCCTTTTTTTTTATAAACTCTGGCTAGCTAGCTCTGTAGACTATGCAAATGTATATAATTGGTTTGCGCAGCTAAGCATATACTACAGCAAACCTTTTAGGTTTAGTGTTATGAGTCCCAGCTTAACATTTTTGTACAGGGATTGCTATTCATGCTTTAAAACACTGCCAAATGGATAAGTTGCTGGTAATAATGCAGGCTCAGAATTAATGAGATCTGTGTTTATGGTTCAGATTTTTAACTTCATCTTCATTGTCAGTAGGCTGAGTATCTGTGAACTTTCCAAACATCTCATTTAATAAAGAGATCTTAATGCAGCATTTAAAAGGATTGAACTGAAGCATCCTGGGCAATGGGACATACACTGTGGGAAATATTTATTAAGTATTAAACCGCCGTTTCCTCTTGTTGGTCTCCCCTGGGAAGTGGTACAACCCCATGGCCCAGAACCTTTAGCAAGCACTAGAAATGTGGTGAAGGGAATAATCTGACATTGCAAGGGAGATGGAGTGGATGTGATCTAATAGGATTTTTCTATCACTGACTTCTGTGATTCCAAGAGATTGTGCCCCACATTGTCCAGCTGTGTCCATCACCTGTGATATTGGGCAGAACGTCTGTAGTGAATTTGGGGATGTGAAGATTTTCCAAGAGGCAGAAGCCCTCAGGGAAAGCATATGAACTGAAGCGGGGTTGATTGTCATCTTGCGTCTCTCGAAAGCATGACTTTTCTTTAGAGTCTGTTTAGTTTAATTCTGAACCCTTTGCTGTAACTAAAGCAGCTTAGCTTAAATTCAGTTACTATTTATAGATTCCAAGGCCAGAAGAGACCATTGTGATCATGTAGTCTGACCTCCTGTATGACACAGGCCAGATAACTGCCCCACAATAATTCCTAGAGCAGATATTTTAGAAAATCATCCAGTCTTGATTTAAAAATTGTCAGTGATGGAGAATCCACCACAACCCCTGATTAGTTATTCCAATGATTAATTACTCTCATTATTAAAAATGTATGCCTTATTCCCAGTCTGAATTTGTCTAGCTTCAACTTCTAGCTGTATTATACTTTCCTCTGCTAGATTGAAGAGCCCATTATTAAATATTTATTCCCCATATAGGTACTTAGAGACTGTGATCAAGACACTCCTTAACCTTCTCTTTCTTAAGCTAAATAGTTTGAGTTGCTTGAATCTATCACTATAAGGCAGGTTTTGTAATCCTTTAGTCATTCTTGAAGCTTTTTTCTAAACCCTTTCCAACTTATTAACAACCTTCTTGAATTGTGGGCAGCAGAATTATTCTACAGGTCCCTTCACACATTATTCCAGCAACAGTCGCACCAGTCCCAATTATAGAGGTAAAATAACCGCTCTACTCCTACTGCGAGTCCCCCATTTATACATTAGCCCTTTTAGCCACAGTGTGACACTGGGAACTCATGTTCAGCTGAATATCCACCTCCCACCCCCCAGTCTATTTCAGAGTTACTTCTTCCCTGGATAGAGTCCCCCATCTTGTAAGTATGGCTTACATTGTGTGTTCCTAGATGTATACATTTACATTTAGCCTTATTAAAATCCACAGCTGCCAAGGTCTGTGCTGTACCATGAATGACGTTTCTTCATGGAGAGCAAAAGTCCCAGGTTTCCCCTCACATGCTCTCATCTCTACTAAACAGTGGGAGGAGGACAAACCACTAGCCTGTAGGCAGACAGGAGTGTGAAGGCTTGGGGGAGTTCTGGGTTTCTCAAAATGTAAAGAAGGTTGTGGGGCCTCATCTGGAAGGAGCAGCGATGGCTACAAGAGGTGAGGAAGTACCAGAACTCCTCTTCCAAGCCAGGAGAAGAAGCAGAGGGTATTAGCGTTGCTGAGTCTTCCTCTCATCTCTGTCCACTGTCTTAGGAGCCACAGAAGAAGGAGGAGGAGCCCTAGGGAGGCACTAGGAGTTGGTGCTGCAGGGCAAGGAGCAGATGAGCAGAGTCTCAAGGCAGCACTTCTTTGAGCAGCCACCGGGAGGGAGAGCAATGAGCAGTGTTTGCAAAGGCACTGTGTAGCGGGGTGGCTACCTCGGTCCTGCCTGAGGGGTTTAAAACAGCCCTGGCAGAGGGCTGGGGCAAAGGGAAAAGCTACTGGGCTGATTGGGGAAGTAGCCACAGCTGGGACGCCCCAATCAGGCCACAGCTGGCCTGTATAAAAAGGCTGGGAGCCAGGAGCTCAGAGTCTCTCTCTGCCTTCAGAGAGAGAAGGGCCTGGCTGCAGGGAGCTAGACACAGAGTACCTGGGTGGAGCAGGAC